TCTAAAAGTTGTGACTTCTGTCTCACTTCATACGAGGGCCCTACTTTGGAGGGTTAGATTCATCTGCTTAGTCACGCCGGTAGGTTTTCTTGTTTTTCTCCTCTCTTCTTGTGACAGTTCCTACAAAAGTGAAAGTCTTCTACTAAGAATTTTTTTTTTATTTCCTATCCATACAAACACTGATGTTCCAGGTCAGTGTTTCCAAGTAAGTTCTGTCCAAGTAAATTCTAGGGAACACCACTGAGGAAATTCGATGCTACATGTCCTCAAATGTGTTATTGTTTTTAAATTTAAATTTAATTTTTCTTTCCTTCCGCCACCCCTTCAGATTTGAAGGGCAAAGAGATAGAATTTGATCATAATATTTGTGGAAATAAAATAGTCCTATTATTTCAACTCTTTCTAGCCTCCCTAATGTTTTCCAGATATGGGGAAAAAAAAAAAAATCATGATTCCAAATGTACAATGACATAGATACTCCAACAAGTTTCATTACAGGTACATGTGCACAATTGTACTTGGCATACTTAAAATCTCAAAGTTTTGTGACTAGAAAACTTCAGTGTATTGCTGAGTCAAGTCATAATCGTATTACAGCTTTTACAGAAAGAAGTACAGCCATTTTCACTAGAATTTTTTAGGTTTTAGAATTTTCCTTATATTCCTCAGATACAAGGACCCTAATACAGCCTACTTGGTACATTTGATTATTGGATCTTTCCTTTTATTTTCATTTGTGTGAATGTATTTTTATCCGTGTGAATGTATGGCATGTGTGTGGGTGCCCTAGGTGGGAAGTGGGTGTTGGATGCTGAGGAGCTGGAGTTGTAGCTTATTAGCTGTGCAAACTTGGGCAATTTCTTAATGTCACTGAACATGTGTCTTGTGATCTGGAGTTTAGGGCACAAGTGTGATTTACCTTACAAGGGTGCCCTGAAGATAAAGTGACAGTCTGGGTGTGGTGGCATACACCTTTAATCCCAGCACCTTGGAAGCAGAGGCAGAGGCAGAGGCAGAGGCAGAGGCAGAGGCAGAGGCAGAGGCAGGTGGGTGTTTTTAGTTCGAGGCCAGCCTAGTATATACAAAGCAAGCAAGTTGCAGGACAGAGAAACCCTGTCATGAAGAACAACCAGAAAATGAAATGACATAGCAACTATGAAGGATTTTAAAATCATGACATAGCACACTGCAAAGGTCCATGTCAGCATCTGTGTTGTTGTGGATCAGATTGCGTCTAGTCTTGTGAATTACAAACTGTGCCACTGAAAGAGACAACAAAGGCAAAATAAAAGAAAATTAACCTTTTACATGTTTTTCCTTTTCTTTTCTTTTTCTTTGTCTAGCCCCGCCTGTCTTGAAACTCGCTCTGTAGACCAGGCTGGCCTCAAACTCACATTCTCCTGCCTCTGCCTTCCCAGTGCTGGGACTAAAGGCGTGCACCACCACCGCACTGCAACACGTTTTCAAAAACATATATATCAGAGATTGAATTTCAGGGTGTGAAGGATACATGCATACTTAACTCCGATAGCTATTACTACATTTTCCTTCAAAGTTTTTTGTTTGTTTGTTTGTTTGTTTGTTTGTCCCCCGCCCCCCCCCCCCCCCCCCCACCCCCCGCCTCCCGCCTCCCACCCCCCCGCCCCCCCGCCCCTTCTTCTTTTATCAATTTACAGGCTACCAGCATGGCTGAGCACAATGGTCAGGGAGGCTTATTCATGATTTTCCGTTTCTATCCTATCAAGATTATTAGGTGAATAGTAGACATGTTTACTACATAGCAAACGGCCTAGGCGATAGAGGTGGCTTTGGTGGTTAGCAAGAACACTAAAAACTGTACTTTAGCATCTTGAAAAGTCACTAATTGGGAGAAAGTGAGATGTTAACTTACTGGTCACTAAACAAAACCCAGTGATTTCGCCTACTCTTTGCAGGTGTGGGTGATGCTCTGAAGGCATATTTATTCTACAGAGGAACACCCAGTGACTAATAAAGCTGGGACCTAAAGCTATAGTCTTTCCATTCCTAAACCAACCTAGGTTGTAAGGTTCTTATTTTCCTTCAGTTTTGACACCTACATCTTGGTAGGTAACAAGCGCAAAAGCATCTCGGTGGATCTTTTTCCTTGCCTAAAATACTTACACTTCTCTTTACCCTGGAAATACAGACAGCAACCCAGGGAACCAATAGCCTGCAATATTCCCCGACCGATCGTGTCCCGGAGTACTCACTGATCCTCCAAGCAAATACGGTTAATATTTACTGTGTCCGCTTATTCATTTGGGTGCCCCGTCTCCCAGCAGAAGATTTCACTGCCCCAAAGCATCCCCTTTAAGGAAAATGAACAGTTGCCTTACTCACTGCCCTAACCATTTTAGGTTTGCCAACAATTTTCAGCATGGCCCGGTAAGTAACGCCAAGACCAGGGACCTTAGCAGCTGCCTTTCCCGTATCCTTCACTTATTGGCAATCAATATTAACAGGCAGAGCAGAGCGTCTCCTAGGAAACCCGGTACCGTAAACCCAGGACGGGAGGGGAGGAGACCTGCTGAACGCTAAAAGCAACAAAAAGTTAACACGTCCTCACGTACAGTACAGTACCTGAAACGGACTGGCTACAGGAAGACGTATGTGCAGCAGCTTCTTTTCGTTGAAAACTGTAGGTGGCTCTGAAAAGAGCCTTTGTGTCAAGAGCGAGTTCACCGAGCTCACTTGGAGCTGGTGTACTTGGTGACGGCCTTGGTGCCCTCGGACACGGCGTGCTTGGCCAGCTCCCCGGGCAGCAGCAGGCGCACGGCCGTCTGGATCTCCCGGGACGTGATGGTCGAGCGCTTGTTGTAATGCGCCAGGCGGGAAGCCTCGCCCGCGATGCGCTCGAAGATGTCGTTGACGAACGAGTTCATGATGCCCATGGCCTTGGAGGAGATGCCCGTGTCGGGGTGCACCTGCTTCAGCACCTTGTACACGTACACCGAGTAGCTCTCCTTGCGGCTGCGCTTGCGCTTCTTGCCGTCCTTCTTCTGCGCCTTGGTCACGGCCTTCTTGGAGCCCTTCTTCGGGGCGGGCGCGGACTTTACAGGCTCAGGCATCTTGACAGACCAACTCCTGGAGCTCCAACGGCCAGAGTGCCGGCCGGTACCTTTTTATAAGCCGTTATTCAAATGAGTCTTAGAAAGTTCCACTTGTGATTGGGCGATGCGTCTGTGACGTCATCTAAAGCTATGGCCCAATCGAAATACGCGTTGGCACAAACCCTTCCCATTGGTGTAAATGAGAAGAAGAAGCCAGCCAATCGCACGGGTTCTTTTTCGCGCCCAGAGGACACTATAAGGGCCAAGCTCTTGCCCCTTCAGACTCTACTCAGTTGTTGAACGGCTGTTCCTTTTCTGCCATGTCTGGACGCGGCAAGCAGGGCGGCAAGGCTCGCGCCAAGGCCAAGACCCGATCCTCCCGGGCCGGCCTGCAGTTCCCCGTGGGCCGTGTGCACCGCCTCCTCCGCAAGGGCAACTACTCGGAGCGGGTGGGCGCCGGCGCCCCGGTGTACCTGGCGGCCGTGCTGGAGTACCTGACTGCCGAGATCCTGGAGCTGGCCGGCAACGCGGCCCGCGACAACAAGAAGACGCGCATCATCCCGCGCCACCTGCAGCTGGCCATCCGCAACGACGAGGAGCTCAACAAGCTGCTGGGCCGCGTGACGATCGCGCAGGGCGGCGTCCTGCCCAACATCCAGGCCGTGCTGCTGCCCAAGAAGACCGAGAGCCACCACAAGCCCAAAGGAAAATGAGCTGCTAATTCGACCAAAATCACTCCAAAAGTCAGACCAACGGCTCTTTTCAGAGCCATCCACAAATGTCTTTTTGAAGCGCTGGACACTTGTACAGCACAACGACAGTTTGTGCAGTTACATTTTCTTAGGACTGCGATTTGTGCCCTCGGGACAGTGTTGTGGCAAGTTTGGGCCTACGTTTTAGAACCTAAGGTTTAGTCTATCTACATTTCCCTGACAGCTTCCCATCTGGGGTTTACCATTAGGCGTCACATAATAGTTCGTAGTTGTCTCTCTTGTGTACTTAAGTCACACCTGTTTCAACTATGGAGTTAAAGCATTTAAGTGTTGACAATCTCTTGGTTGCCGCGTTTATGTTTTAAACCCAGAAGCTGCGGAGTTTGTATTTTTCCCGACACAGGCTTTTCAGTGCGTAGGCCTAGCTGTCATGGAGCTCACCCTGGCCTCCTGCTGAACACATCCGCCTTGGGGGTCACCGGGGCGGGCTAACAAACTTGATTTGTGTTTGTTTTTCGAGGTCGGGGTTCTCTGTGAAGCCAGGGCTGACCAAGCTGGCCAGATCCGCCTGCCTCCGGGGTCGAAGGGGTGCGTCACCACCGCCCTGTTGTGTAGCATCAATGAATGAAACTACTTCTTGTCATTATCATTAGATGATTCGGTCCTTGAACTATAGCTTTAGAGTTAAATAGCATACTTCATGCCCCAGTGGTGGGAAGAATATAAGTGTAGACGCTACATGTTTTTTAAAGAGTTTGTTTATTACGTATATACAGCTGTCCTCGAACTCACAGATATCTGCCTGCCTCTGCCTCCTGAGCGCAGGGATCAAAGGAGTGCGCCACCAACGACCGTCCTGTTTGTATATTCTATAATGAGTTTTGTTTTTGTTTTGTAAGGACACGACAGGGAACCCATTCAACGAAAACGGTAAAAAGCTCTTTAAAAATTCGCAAACATTAAGAGTCCGCACCTGACTCTTCCGTTGCTCGATGCATCCAAGTTAAATAAACATGGTCGTATATAAATAGTACTAAAAGGAAAACGTTAAGTGTGTTAAATTGGCGCCGAGGGCCCCTACACCCCCCGCCTCCCCCAGGCACAAGCACTTCCCGCCACTGCGCTTCCTGTTTTCACTCCGGTCCGCACGTTCCCTATAAGAGCGAACTGCTGTCTTGCCTTTGCCGTCAGTCGGATCCCTTTCTCAGCTCAGAGCATGTCTGGTCGCGGCAAGGGTGGTAAAGGCCTGGGCAAGGGCGGCGCCAAGCGCCACCGCAAGGTCCTCCGCGACAACATCCAGGGCATCACCAAGCCCGCCATCCGCCGCCTGGCTCGCCGTGGCGGAGTCAAGCGCATCTCCGGCCTCATCTACGAGGAGACCCGCGGGGTGCTGAAGGTGTTCCTGGAGAACGTGATCCGCGACGCGGTCACCTACACGGAGCACGCCAAGCGCAAGACCGTCACTGCCATGGACGTGGTCTACGCGCTCAAGCGCCAGGGCCGCACCCTCTACGGCTTCGGTGGCTGAGCTGCTCAGCTTTCTTTGTCCTTTATTCTTTCTCTTCTCTAAAGGCCCTTTTCAGGGCCAATCACTCGACTCCCTAAAGAGCTGCAGCACTGGCGAGTGCCGCACTCCCAGGACCCCTCAGCATGTATGTGAGTAGTGCATAGTTGTGGCGTTCCTATTTATTGGTTTTTACCTTGTTACTAACTGGGATTTTCAGGCACCAGTATATTGTTCAAAAGCCTGTTCTTCCCATTGTGCCTCGTTTGGCTTAGCATCAAAGTGGTAGCGTGCATATAAAAGGTTAACATTTTACATCTGTCCGAGGTTTTAAGCCTTATAGAACTATCTTAATCCCAGCACCTGGGAGGCAGATGTTGCTGTAGCTGAGTTCCAGTCGGGCCTGGTCTATAGAACGAGTTCCAGGACAGCCAGGGTACACAGAAAAACCCTGTTTCTGTTTGGGAAACTAAACACAAGCCTGCAAAAACCCACATGAAACTTTATTTGCAGTCGGCTCACGGGGGGAAATTCCCACATATTTAACTTATATATTTAAGTGTATGGTGATTAACTATGTATAATTTATAAAATCTTGCCTGAAGATTCAGAAAGCAAAGTCAGCAACAAGCCATTGAAACCAAGTATACACCTTTAATCTCCAGAGCCACAAATTAAAAGGTAGTGCACTCTTATAATCCTAGATCTCAAGATTAAGAGTATAGACCTGAGTTCAAGGCCACCCAGAGATAAATGCAATTGACTCTGTCTCAAAGAATAACAGACCATATACCTTTAAGTCCCGCACTAGAGGGGTATAAAAGATAGAATCAGAGTCTTCAGTATTCAGTACATTCATTTTCCATTCATGCTGAGGGGAAGTTACAGTCTGTGCCTTGGTTAGAGCTCATGGAGACAGGATCAGCCCATTCAGTATGAGGTAGAGGTAAGAATCTAGTGGCCAGCTGCTTTGCTTTTCTGTTATTCAGCTTGAAGTTTGAACCCCAATATCAGTCTCAGGACTTTTATTAACTCATGTTACACTACTGTACCCAGCAAAATTTTCAATCAGCATAGATGGATAAAACAAGATATTTCAAGATAAAGTCATATTTTAACAGTATCTATCCACAAATCCAGCCCTATAGAAGGAAGGACTCCAACACAAGGAAGTGAACTACACCCAGGAAAACACAGTCAATAGATAATCTCACATCAGCAAAACCCAAAGGAGGAAACACATACACACAGCTGATCAAGCTGACAGATTTTATTTTCTCAGGGAAGACTTATATAGGACCATAGGCAGGATGTGAGCAGGGTTTGCACGTTACCAGGTCATGGGCACTGGCATGTAGACAGAGTGAGAAGGTCAGTAGAAGGAATACCCTAAGTTGTTTAGCTAACATTTAATTGGCTGTAAATTGCAGCAGGAGAGATATCCCTGAGCTATTCTTTAGCTGGCAGTGAAACTGAAAGCCTGTACCTTGGAATGTTCTGCTGAACATCCTGTTTATTTCTTAAGAGGCAGTAATTTTCTATCTCAGAGGCCTGAGGTTGTGAGGATGGTGATGATCCCCAACAGAAAAGAACACTCCATACTTATCAAAAATTACATTTCAATTATCAACATGTATGCCTCAAATGCAAGGACACCCACATTTACAAAAGAAACATTACTAAATCTTAAATCACACATAGATCCTCACACATGTATTATGGGAGACTTCAATATCCCACTCTCACCAATAGTCAGGTCACCCAGACATACATTAAACAGAGAATAATGGAGTTAAACTTCATAAACCAAATGGACCTATCAGATATCTACAGAACATAAACATAAACAATATACCATTTTCTCAGCACCTCATGGAACATTATCCAAAACTGACCACATACTCTGTCACAAAACAAGTATCAACAGATATAAAAAGAAAATTGAAATAATACCTTGCATCCTCTCAGACCACTACAGATTAAAACTGGGTTTAAACAATGACAGAAACAACAAAAAGGCTACAAACTCATGAAAACTGAATACTCTATACTGAATAAGTGCTGGGTCAAGGCAGAGGCAAAGAAGTAAACTACAGACTTACTAGAATTCAATGAAAAGTAATGAACAATGTAGTGAGATATTCAATTTGTCCTCACCTGTGGCACAGACCACGCCCATTGGGGGTGGAGACAGGGGCTGATGTTAGCTGGGGAAATAAGTCTGAGGAGGGGGCTCTCTTGCTTTCAGCGCAGGGACAGGAATACATCTGGAGGCATCCTTGGAACCAGGAACCTGCTGGTGTTCATCTGTCTATCTTGTAAGTTATTACTCCCTGAATAAACATCTATTTGGCCTGTTTTTTCATGATCATTATTAAACATCAATAGAATATACCTAGACTTAGGGGACAAAATAAAAGCTGTGTTAAGAGGAAAATGTATAGTACTAAGTGCCTTAATAAAGAAATTGGGGAAAATCTTATGCCAGCAACTTAACAGCACTACTGAAAGCTCTAGAACAAAAGTGGAGAAGATTGTAGAAAATGATCAAACTGGGGGCTGAAATCAATAAAATAGAAATAAAGAAAACAATATAAAGAATCAATGAAACAAAGAGTTTGTTCTTTGAGGAAATCAACAAGATAGATAAACTCTCATTCAAACTAACTAACAGAAAGGGAATATCCAATTTAACAAAATCAGAAACAAAAAGGAGGACTTAACAGGCATTGAGGAAATCCAGACAATCATTAGGTCATATTTCACAAAATTGGAAAATCTAAAAGAAATAGAAAAATTTCTTGATAGTTAACACCAAAGTTAAATCAATATCAGATAAACAATTTAAATAGAACTTTAACCCCTAAAGAAATAGAACCAGTCATTAAATGTCTACCAACCAAAAATAAAAATATAAAGGGGGTGGGGATAGGCAGATGATTTTATCAAAGAATTCTATTAGACTTTCAAAAAAGAGCAAATACCAGTACTCTTTAATTTTTCCACAAAATAGAAACAGAAGTAACATTGTTAAATACATTTTATTAGGGCAGAGTCACCCTGATACCCAAAGTACACACTCAACAAAAAAAATTACAGATGAGTTGCCTCATGAACACTGATGCAAAAATAATCATGAACTGAATCCAACAACACATCAATAGATCATCCACCACAATCAACTAGGATTCATCCCAGACATGCAGGGATGGTTGAACATGCAAAAACTGTTAATGTAATCCACCACATAAACTAACTGAAAGAAAACACAAACACACACACACACACACACACACACACACACACACCCATCTCATTAGATGCTAAAAAAGTCTTTGACAAAATCCAACACCCCTTGCTGATAAAAGTCTTGGACAGATCAGGTCTACAAGTAACATCTAAACATAAAAAAGATAACTTACAGCAATTTATAAACAATATGAAATTAAATAGAGAGAAACTTGAAGCATTTCACGAAAATCAGAACAAGATAAGGTTGCTCACTCTCTCAATATCTATTCAATATTATACTTGAAGTTCTAGCTAGAGCAATAAGACAACTAAAAGAGATCAAAGGGATACAAATGGGAAAGGAAGAGGTCAGTGTATCGATATTTGCAGATAATATGATAGTATACATAAATAACCCCCAAAATTCTACCAGGAAACTCCTACAACTGATAAACACCTTCACCAACATGGCTGCATACAAGATTAACAAAACAAAACAAAATTAAAAAAAAAATCAGTAGCCTTCCTATATACAAATGACAAAAGAACTGAGAATGAAATTAGGAAAACAATATCCATAAATAACATAGAGTATCTTGGGGTAATTGTAACCAAGTAAGTGAAAGAACTGAATGACAGGAACAAGTCTTTGAAGAAAGAAATTGGAGAAGATGTCAGAAGATGGAAAGATCTCCCATGCTCACGGATTGGTAGGAGTAACATAGTAAAAATGGCCATCCTACCAAAAGTAATCTACACATTCAGTGAAATCACCATTAAAATCTCAACAAAATTCTTTACAGACCTTGAAAGAACAATATTCAACTTCATATAGAAAAACAAAACAAAAACAACAACAACAACAAAAACCAAAACAAACAACAACAAAAAACTCAGAGTTGTAGTGAGATATTTACTTTGTCTCCTTCTGTGGCACTGACCACGCCCATTGGGGTGGAGCCATGGGCAGAAGTGACCTGTGGAAGGAGTTCTGAGGAAGAGCCGGGAAAGCTCTTTTGCTGGCTGGACTCGGACAGGAGAGCATCTGGTGGAACTTGCTGGTGTTCATCTGTCTAGGTTGTAAGTTATTTCTCTCTGAATAAACATCTATTTGGCCTATTTGTTTATCCTGATCCTTATTGAACCACAATACAGAATGGCTCAAACAGTCCTGGCCTGGACAATAAGAGAACTTCAAGAGAAATCACTATCACTGATTTCAAGCTTTACTATATATAGAGCTCTAGTAATAAAAAACAATTGGTATTGGCACAAAGTCAGGTGGATCAATGGAATAGAATCAAAGACACAGACATAAATACACACACCTATGAACACCTGAAGTTTGATAAAGAAGTCAAAATTATACAATGGGAGAAGAATACTTTTCAACAAATGATGCTGTAATAACTGGATGTCTGAATATACAAGTATGCAAATAGACCCATATCTATCACCCTGAGTATTGGACCTGCTTGCACACAACAGAAGAGAACCTTGGTCCTGTACCCTCCAGGAGAGGGAGAGACCTCACAGTCAACAACAGAAAGATCAGTATTGTAGGAATTAAGACCTCAGCGAAGAATTCACTCCCCCTCCTGCTGCCCTCAGGGCAGGCAGCTGTATCTGCTGGAAAACAGGAGACATGTTTTCTAATGCAAAATGCTAATGCTCTTTTGGCTTACAGCAGCCCTGAACGCACCCTAACCTGTCCTTGGAACCTGAGATAACCATCCCCTCTGCTTCCCCCTTCTCCATCTGGTGCCAGGGTATATAAACCAGCCCCCAGAGTAAAGTAAAAGATAATAAAAAGCCTTGTTAACATCAAGCA